TTCTAATCGCGTTTAAATGGCTGAATCGATTTGAATTAAATTGGATAGCGCGCAAATAGTAGTATGGAATCGTACTGTACAACGTGTAAAATATAAAGCTATTTAATCCTTCAGATGCTATCTGAGATAACTGTTATATATAAATAGATATATATAACCCTTTGCTTGCTTGAAATTATAGGGCAATGTTTATTATATCGCCGCATACTCGTGGTTTATGGGATAGGTAGAGAAAGTCGATTATCATAGGACTAAAATACAGTAGCGATTCTCCCCGTCTTCGCTCGGGTTATAGAAATATAAATTAATACTTTATATTAGTTGTAATAGGTAAATTTTTTAAACCTTGGGTTATTTTATAGTAATTTTCCTAGAGATATGTATTTTTTTTATTTATAATAATATATAGCCGACATAGTAATGTAGCTTTTTATAGGTGAAAGAATTTTCAAGTTTATCTGTTACAAACAAACATGTAAAAAATAAAGAATTTCCTTTTATTAATATTGACCTTATTAGGATTGACTAATGTCTTATGTACATTATTGTTACGTGTTATGTAAATCAGTGCATTATCATCTTAGGTACTACCTAGTAGAAAAACAAACATTTTGTATTCGAACGAAATCCGCTTAAATGATGCGAAGCCATTTTCATAATTAAATTTACTGCCAGTGCTCTATAAATATTAATATTACGGTATTTGTGGCAGTTTGCTTCTAGTTCCGTGAAAAAGATGTAAAAATGTGAATAGATAATCTGTATTATGTAAATCGTATTTGGACTACTAAAAACAAAAGGGAGCCAGAAATAATAATCGAGGAAATTGCCGTATTTATTCAAGGTCTTGAGAAAAAAAAATAATTTGATATTTTCCTATATAGTTTATTGGAGACTAGCATTCCTGCCCGACTTCGCGCAAATATGACACGTAGATATAATTTTTAGAAATAAAATATATACTGTTTTACTCGCTGATAAAGTATCCTTCTATAGATAAAAGAATTTTTGAAATCGTTGAAACAGTTTTTACGTTTATCCATTACATATAAACAATCAAGTCCTTCCTCTTAATATTGATATGGATCAAAATATTCATCTTGAGTGAATTTTAAAAGTAGAAGGCAGTTCTCATTTCGTCTGCATTCTACTGTGACTATGTTACTCGATAACATTTTATCAGTAAATTTATTAAAAAAAAAACTGTATTACTAAAGTCGTTACTTATAGGATTCAATGCACAGTCAATACTACTAAGTCTAGAAACCTGAAATTTGGAATGTTCTTATATAATATTTTATAACATAAGCGTCCGTTAAGAAAGAATTTTCGAATAATTCACCTCAAAGGAAATATGGGATACCATATATTCAAAGTCTCAGAAAACAGCTGACTTTTTATAATGATTCATTGTAGCCCATTGGATTGGGAATCGTAAAAGTAATCTAATATAGTGAAAATATTCGGTCATATAAAATTTCCTAATACTGAATTCGATCTTCATCCAAGGTCTCCATTATTAAAATTAAGTTGTCCCTGTAGGTAGCTTATGTAATTACCACGCCTCGGCTTACCAAATACTTATTAGTAATCAGAAACGCTATCTTCCACATTTAATACACAAGGACCACGGGGATTCAAAAATTTGTTAGTCAAAAATTAATTCGTTTTTGTTTGCTCTTTGTATTATAAAACTTTACAATTATAAATACTTCATTTAGTTTTTGTCATTCATTCCAAGTGTATATAATTGTAGTAGGTGAAGTATATGTAATGATTATTTAAATGTATGAATGTGAAAGAAACGAAAGAGGTTTGTTTGAATCGAAGTATTTGGCGTTCCATTGTTTCTGCCTACCCTAATGGGAGACAGGCGTGACAGATATGTATGTATGTATAATGTCAGTATTAAATATCGCTTGTTGTCATCCCTATCACAGAGTTTATTTCTATAGAATTGCTGATAGGGAATCACTACGTTATTCAAGAGTCCGTACCGTCCATGTATTGACGGAACTGAAAAATGAATGTGTACCACCTAGAAGTATCGACCCAATAAAATGAATATTCATAATGTTGTGCAACTATTCTATCCTATTAATATTATAAATGGGAAAGTTTGTAAGGATGGACGGTTGGATATTTGTTACTCTTTCACGCAAACGTTACTTATTTGAATAAAATTTGGAACACAGGTAGGTTATATTCTCACTTGGCACATAGGACATATGTACTGATTCACGTAGACGAAGTCTCGATATATAACTGGTTCATAATATATTTCTGTGCTAAATATCAATATTGATAGGTATTGTACAAGACCTAGGTACTTTACAGCGTACAATTTTAAAAGTCAATGAAGTGGTTGTATATCTTTCATATAAACTTCTTTAATCGATGTAATGCGATACTGTCCCTGTGTTCTTAGGTCGTCGATCGAACTACGTCCTCATCAAAATTTTATTCCATTTTCAAATATTGATGGCCAGCAACTACCAAAGGTTTTATAACAAAGTTTTTAATCTAATCCCATATTACAACAATCGATGAAATACTTCACGTCTCTTATGTGCTTAACCTGCGCATCATATTGCAGATTTCAAGGCCGCGAACTGATATTGAAAGCAAAATACATAATTGAGGCGTTCATTATAAACAGTTAGTTAATTGTTTCCATGAAATGATTTTGTAGATATTATATTCCTGGTGTATGTTTATACATTAATTAATTATTGATTACGGTATTTAAAAAATTACTACATTTATTCGCTACGCTTAAATCGAAATTAAGTGAAATAATCATAGTATTATTTTACAATAAAGAATAAATAAATATGATTAGATTAAAAGTGATATATACCTTATTTTGAAAAAATATAACATTTACATGAGCTATGGTTACTCTATACAAGCTGTATTCTGTGGATTTGTCCGCATGAATCTGAATATATAATACCTTGTGTGTTAATCAAGAGTATTGTTTATATGTGTACTAAAATTTAAATCAATTCGATCTTTTATTTGTTTCTTATTTTGTACTAATGAGTTTAAAATATTATAAAGCTATTTACATGCTTGGATAATGATTATATATGTATTATATTAATTCTCACTCCTCAGGAATGGCAACCCCTTAGTGCTTTTAATCTGTATAAGTGTTAAGTACCACTTTCGATCAGGGGGGCCGGTTTGTTTGAATCGAGTATCCTATTAACTTACAAGTAGTATATCATTAATTGAATTCGCTTATCTTATCAAACATATACTAAAGATCCACTAATGAATTTTGGTTGTCGTTTTCGGCATTCAATTATGTAGAATATTTGTAGGTGGCTACCGAAAGATTTCATTACTTACCTAAGTTAACAGACTGTTCTTGGAAACTTACGTGGCGGAATCACTTTTGCTATGGGCTTCGCAAATAAAATTTCGCAAAACTAATTTTCCGGATTTATACGTTTCTTGGTTCACACGAAAGTGTTTGTAACCTATGTTTTGTGTGTATGTGCACATCCTTATTTTATCTATTATATATTATATCTAATAATATAATAAAATTGTAACTCGACAATGTCTGTACATGGGAGAGATATTTAAGAAAAGATAAATAAGGAAATATATGAGATATCATTATAACGGCAATAGAAGTTAAAATAATAATAACAACACATTGACAAAAATAAAGAATTTTTGTCTGTTTGTCGTATATTTATTCAGAAATCATACCGAAACTACTGCACAGAATGCTATATCCACAGTTGTATTTCTGAAGTTTGTACTTAAAATTTGGTATATATTTTATTTTGATACGTCACCTAGAAATAGTTACAGGATCCATGCGTATGGAGCTAAAGGCAAAATTTATTACTAGATATAAATACAAGCGTGATGCCCTAGTTTTGTTTAAATAACATAGGTCCTCGATAAGAAGAGATATTAATGTTACGATAAGTTGTTGATAAGTTGTCAAGTGATAGAGTAAATCTGAAATTCAATACATTTAAAAATTTAAACGAACTGAAATGTTTAAAAGACAAATGTCCTTTGAAAATCGTATCAATTGACCTCTTGAACAAAGTTATGTTGAAAAGAAAGAAAAAAAAAGTATTTTTTAATAAAAAATAATGTTTTTAAATACGATCATATTGGTTTTATTTTATATTATCGTTATTTCAAAAGGCGTAGCAGCAAAATTATAACAATTCTGTAATAAAATACATGAAACGGAATAACTTTTCTCATCGAACACTGCACAAAGTATGGGAATAATTTTTAAATTTTAACGTTCGAAAATTATAAATTGTGATCCTTCAAAAATATTGTCCAATTTCATAAAAAAGTTTTCTATTGTCGAATTCCTTCTATTACCCTTTTACGTCATTATTACAAATTTTGGGTCTCTTTTACAACAATTAAAAGTAAATTATGGGGTAACCCCCCTTATTGGGGAGGTCTATCTTCAGCAGTGGAAAGTTAACGGCTGATATGGTGTGGAATGGTAGTCGAAAACGTTTTTCTCAGCGGAAATCATATCTTAATTAGCCATGGGTAATGTCTGTACCGCTCCTATATCTATATATTGGGGTTTTATAAGTAGTTGCCACGATTGGCAGGCGAGTTGGTAACTGCAGTTATGCTTTCGTGATGTTTTAAGAGGGACACTGCTACCCATCACTCGATCATTAAGTTTCCTTAGTCTTCCCTTATGACAGCCGCGGGAAAGGAAGATTTTAAGGCTGTGTGGTCCTAGCATATTAAATAATCTTTACTAATAATACTATAAAAGCATGTTATTGTTTTATATGTAGAATTTTTTTACATGATCAACGCTGATATATGATTACTTGATTATTGAAAATGTTCATATTTTAAATAGTCAACTATACGTAAAGGAAATACCCAGCAAAGCTGCTGAATATAGCTAGTTTAATTCAGTCTCCACTTATGAATTCTTGATTGGTGTCTAAAATGCAAATAATATTATTTTCATATTATTTCAGGCTGGTCCAGAAATGACTTGGGTGGTAGCAGAGCATACCGCGTCTGGTGCTGGTGAGCTAACAGTCACAAAGGGTCAGCAAGTGGAAGTGGTAGAAGTCTGCCAGGGCCGCACCGACTGGTGGGTGGTCAGGGTTCCTGGGGAGCCTCCGCAAGAAGGGGCAGTGCCCGCGCACGTTCTCAAGCCGCAACCACAACAGAAGACTTCGCCCTCAAGACGTCCACTCAGCCAACCGTGTGAAGAGGCGTTAGGTAAGTCATTTCTTAAGTTTCATAGATTGGGATAACTTAAGAATAATTGATTCTAGCAAATTGCTTACAAAATAGCAGAAAAGTGTTTAGCGGTAATTTTTTGTATTTGACTATTTTTTTAGGTTTTTTCTTAAATTACATTTAACGAGTAGTGTGAAAAACATGTTTATCGTCTTTCTAAACTCCTTTATCTAAGTAATTAAAACAGATAGCGTAGCTCTATTCTCTAAAATTAAAATAATTGATATTTTAGCAAAACTATTATGTTACGTGCCACTATATTAAACTACTAATAGATAGATAGATATACTGCCATAAATAGACATATAGATTGTCTTGTACAAGTATAGATAAAACTTTTCTCTCAATCATATACCGTGTCAGTTTGAAATACCCGTATCAGAAGTAAGGAACAGCCGACAAAACTGTCCGACGTTAAGTCGCTCCATAAGTGATTACACCTCTAAGCTGCAGGATCTTCGATCCTGACACTGCCTCGCCTCGCCTCGCCTTGACATAATAAAATAAACGTATAAAGGGACGTAGAGAATTTTTTTTCTAAAGAGAGTATTTGTAAATATTTCCTTGCTTTTCAAACTTATCTATATTATTATTATAAATTATTAACTTGTAAATTAACTATTAACTTGTCCCGTCTTCGCTCGAGTAGATATAGGTTAATTTCTAATTTTTTTTTAAAGTAAGATACAGTCCGTATTACTCGTTGATAATATAGCTTTGTATAGGCGAGACCATTTTAAAATCGATTAAGTTTATTTTTAATTTACCCATTACGACCAAATAAACATACAAAAAACAGATCCTTTCTCTTCATAATATTTGTTTAGATATTCTATTCCAGATTGACTCATCGCGGAATCAAAGACATCGTAATTAATGTGTGTTAAACATATTAACTGACATATATTTTGGGATTTATCTCTCCAAAAAAATAGCGAATTCTATTGTCATTAATTAATAAGTCATACACCCATTGTCGCCCTTATCGTAAAGCTATTATGAAAAGACATCGGAATCGGTTCAGAATTAGCGAAAATATCACATAATTAACACAATAAAAATATAAAAACACCAGAGGCAACAACCTTCTTTTTTCTTTCTCTTAAAAAATAAAAGTTATCACGGGATTAGTCCTGAACCGGATAAACTATACCATACATATTTTCCGTTATCGCAACGTAACTTTTAATAAGCGTCTACGCGATTAATACTTGTATATTAAGACAGTGACGGATAGATCTAAGGGGATTTTTATTTTGTTGTTCGTGTTTATAGTATGTTTAATATAATACTTTAAATCCTTACTAATATTATAAATAAGAAAGCGAGAGTTTGTTTTTAGCACCTTAACAGCTGAACCAATAACTATGAATTTGGTATATATATAGGTTACATTTTATCAATAGTCAATGAACATATCGGGTTTATATATTTGATATAAGCGGACCCGGGTGGATCGTGGTCACTCAGAAGTGTCTGGTGTTCACCCCAGGATGCGAGAGAAATATCGCAAAACATGTCTGAGAGCACGTTGCGCCTTTTTAAGGGAACAGACGAGGGACTGTGATGATGGAGCCTTTCCCTAGAAAATGACTCTAAATACGCCAATGTATATACGGAGATAGAATCTACGACCATCAGAAGGTTAAACTGTTACATTACCGAGATTGCCGATAAAGTGAGTCACATTTTTCTAGATAATTCTAAATATTATTCTAGTATATAAATAAAAGTTCAAGAAGGCCCAAAGCGTATAATGTTGGGTGCAAACTTTAGAGTTTTTGTTTGTACCTTTCAAGATCATGCCAGATTCAAATAACTATACGAAAGTACTTCTAGACAAGCAAACAACTGATACTTAACGGGCAGTTTAATTACATCGCACAGCGTGGGAGGGACAGGACGAAAGGGAGGGCTCCAGCCTCCAAATCTTAACGAGGAAGGTTGCGCGTCCCCACCGGGGATGGAATGATACGTCCTTAGTGGGAAGATCGGTATAGAATTATGTATACTGATATGATAGTACGTGAGATTTTGTTTGTTTTTTTTTGAATGAGCAAATCTCTGTAACTACCAGTCGGATACATTTTTTTTTTACATTTGATAGGTTATTTCCTAAGGAAATTTATAGGCTATTCAATATCACGGTATATTCACGAGTAAAGCCACGGGATGCAGCTAATTACGTAAACAAGGCATTTCTTTTTTCAATTATATTTATTTATTTATTAGTACATGTATATGTATAATGCAGATTTAATGCTAAAAGTATCCTCTCCCAGCAAACCTTAGGGAAGTGTCATACTTAAATGAATACTCGAATGCGGTAGTAATAATATACATACACACATATATATATGTATATATATATATATATATATATATATATATATATATATAACTACTATATATAACTTTATACACTCATCTTTGTATATATAATATACGAAAATGACAATAATATATAATACTTGATGATGTTGTCAACAATAATAATTTGTGTGTCATAGCGGAAGTGATAGTCACAAAAAAAGGTATGAAATTTCATAGTGCTATAGCGACGTGCTGACAAAAATCCAGACTATTGCATACAGAGGAATAACACCTGAGTTCTCAGGAATGGCAACGCATGGGAGGTATCATGGGCGAAACAGTATACTTTGTTACGTCCATGGTACTGCTCATGTCTATAGGCGACGGTTACCACTTTCCATAAGGTGGGCCGTCAGCTTGTTTGCCATTCTAAGTTGTATAAAAAAAATACATCAAACATCCTTATATATCCTTAACAATCCTACAAAATATTCAATATTTGTATTAAAATATGACAAAATTGTTTAAAACAAAGATTCGTGTCCCATTGTACGAATATAATATGGTATTAAAGAAATGACTCGATTTTGAAGCATTTTTTCTTAATTAGAACCATTCCTAATTTGGTTAAGACTAAAGATGATTTTTTTTTAACAAAAAGAAATCTTAAACTATGAAGCAACCAAAGCGGCCAGATCTCTCACGAGCAAACATAATATATACTAACATATCCAGTAGTTGTGTCGTACGGGCGACTGAATTCACCTTAAGACGTTATCTGTATACATTTTGCTCGGTCTAATGAGGATTTCGTTTATACAAAATGTGTTAGGAGGGCAATGGCAGTGTTATTCATTAGATTTAACGGTTGTCTTGGCGCCTGAGATGTTTGTTTTATTTGAGACAATAGTGCTTTCAAGATATATTAGACGAGTATTATGCGAGTTTATGAATGTCTAAGTGATATTACCGAAAACGGTTTATCGACGTAGCAAAGGTGACAAATTTAAAGTAACCTTGCGTTATAAAGTCATTGGGTTGGTTCATTATTAAAATCCATCTATCGTCTATTGATGAATATAGGTCTCCCCCATTCGAATTTTTGGCCACAAAATACGATCCCGTGTCACTTGCACCCATCGACTCCCTGCTACGCTTGAGGTGTCACTCAACCCGGCGGGGGTCGCACTAAAATACTTTTGTCTGCATGGGGTTGCCAGTCAAGAACTTTTCCCCTTCGATTATCAGCTTCTGAAGTTATGCGGCCGGATCATTGTCATCTTATTGAGAGATAATTTGGAATTGCTGTTTTTATTCTGAAATTTAAAATTTGAATTGATTGTTTAATAAAGGCGTTTTGTTTTATATAGAGTACCAAAAACTACGTTAAAGCAGCTGGTACTGGAATGTATTATTAAATTAAATTCTTACAACGGTTTCTTTGTAATACAAATTTTAGAGATAGCTCTTCAGATAATAGCTCTTTAGAGCCGAATTCATTGTCTCGTGCCAGTAGATATAGAAAAAATAAAATCGATCAAGTGTGAGTTGAGTGTTACCGATTTGATCCCACTTCTTCCCATCAGTGTACTGTATTTGTCTTTCCGGACGCTAAATTCTAATATGCATTCATGCGGAACCCTTATCTACCTGTCTCATGGGAATTTTAGGATCCTTCCCTCATAAAATGAGCGTATAATATGAAAATTTAATTTTTCCCAAACGCAGTATTAGCGTTTAAAAAGACTCAATTATGCTGTCTTATGTGTATTGACGATCTCCGTAATGGGGTTTCTATTCTTTATAGGGCCAATTTAGGAAACGAATTTTTCTAAATTGGTTTGGGATCTGGATGTCCTGGCCGGATGTTAGTTGGCTGAACCCTTATAACACTAGGTTTCCTTGCCTGAGGATCAGGCGAGGAGGTAAACAAATATGCGACCAACCTGATGGTAACCAGTTACCGTAGACTAAAAACGCCTGCAATACCAGGATCATTACGTGCGCGTTGCCAATCCTGAAGAAACTTCTTTAACGCTTTTTTGAAGAACCCTATGTTGGTACGTAGAAAAACCACGACAGTGTGTTTACCTATTATACAATATATTTTATCGGACTTAGAGATACACAGAATATTTAAGCATCTGCTGTAAACAGTTCCGATAGAACTTAATAAAAGTGAGTCAAAATAATTAATTAATAGATATTTTTCTGCTATTGGACAGCAACAGGCTGGTTATTTAATTAGAATTATTTTGTTTAATGCTGCTACTATTAGTATGTGTGTGACTGCCAACACTCGAAGATTGACCACCACTATTACCACCAGAAGTTCCACTATGTTCCATATTAGTCATCAATCTCGCAGTTTGGACGCTAAATAGTTAACACTAGGCTCTGAGCAGCGATCTAATAATTTGCATGAAGATGTCTCATTTAGAGGAAATATGTCTCGCAAAACGTGCGCGTACCAAGTGGCAATCGAAAATTAATGGCTATATGGAAGGTCGTGGAATTTCTGGTAGTAATACTGGTGGTCAATCAACAAGTTTTGGCACTCACACACGTACTAATGCTAGCGGTATTAAATAAAATAATTCTAATCAAAGAACCAGTTATGTGGATTTTTGCAAGGTAACAACCTATGTAGTTCAGTAAAATATCAG